ACAAAAGAGGGAGGGAGGAGGTATAACACTCTCAACAACACCCCCCAAAACACAGAACACAAAAAACAAAACGCGAAGAATAGACAGTTACAGGTACCCTCAAGGCAGAACCCAACACAACAAATCGAGCAGCCACCCATCACAACAGCTGAGGACTCACGTATAACCGGAAACTTGCCGAATCCCATGCCCCAATGCGTTGAATGACGTGATCATCCAAACCCCACCGGGCAGCCTCCGTAGCTGTCCCAATGCGAAAAGAATGGAACGAGTAGTGCTCCGTACCCAACCCAGTAGACCGCAAACACCGTTTTAAACACAGCCCCAAATTGGAAATGAGACAGTGCCATCCCATTCTCATGCAGAAAGAAAATCCCAGAAAGATCGGGTCTCAACCCAAGAAATCCACCAACGTCCTGAACAGGACAAATCCGGGACAATGGAATCTCAGACAGCTCAACCCAATCGATCCGTTTTTTGACCTGCGCAGAAAAAACACTCAACCTACCACCCCGCAAGACCACCATCATCAACAGCCAAACCACCCTCACTCCGCGTGTTCCAACTAACCAACTCCCCAATTCGAAAAGCACCAAAAAAGGCCAGCATGAATGCGCCCGAAACAAAGTAGCCTCATACAACGAGGAAGGAGACCATCCAACTGGCCCACCACCGCATGGAGAACCTCAAAAGAAATGGCCGCCTAGCATCGGGAATCGAAAGGCCTTTTCGATAACCCCGTATAGCCTGCCTAACAAGGAAATCCTTGGTAACATCACAGCGGCCTGCCAATTTCAACCCCGCCAGCTTGCGGGACATCAAAGATGCCGCAACACCAGTTTCAAAAATTCCTACCGATGAAATAAAGCAGGAAGCACCGGGCATCATCCAAGGAACCCCCGACCATACCGCCGCACCCACGAGAAACCACCACATCGAAAGAAGTATACAAAATGGTACACTGATCCAGGTCACTAGAGTCATTGACCGAATCCCCTCTCAGATGCGACAGGTGATGGATGAGTCCTATATTTATTGGGCCTCTTTCTTAGGAACAGATACACCAACCGGCAAAATGACCAGATCAGGCATCGGCGGGCAAACAACCAGGTCAGCCATGCGACCCAAGGACACCTTCTTGTCCAGTTTTAGCAAGGACAACGTCTGTATGGAGCCGCAATGATCTTACATTATCGCCACGGGAGGAACAACCGCCAACGCACATGGGATCAAAAAACCTCCTCGAAACCCTGCTGCAACAGGCAAGTCACCGCCTGATCAGAGGTACCACTTTAAAAACGGCACCATACTTCCTACTCTCACTGGCATTCATCCTGTTTCCAGCGTCGCCACCTCCCCCCCCTCCATGTTTAAACACCGGGACAAGGAATGGAATCCCCCACAGCCTGAGCACTCGTCATGGAAAGCGGCAGCCAGATCCAAACTTGTAACGATCCTTGTTGAATTGCCAGCAATATCCTTTTCTAATGCGCGGCGCCCGTGTTGCCCAACAGAAGCTTGCACCTCCGGCCCCCCTGGAAAAGGGTATGAGCAGTGGTCCGCATGTGCGTCATCAGCTTCATCCACACATCAATATCCTTGTTGGTTCCAATGCAAAGATGGCCAGACTGCCTTGCGTTGCTGAAACTGCTCGTCATAACGCAACCACACGATTTCTCCGTAAAAACCCTATGGGGTTCCCCAATGGAATCCAAGTAACAAAAGAGAGGTGACAATGTTTCGGTGTCTTCTCTCTGCCAATAACGCTTGCCAGAATGGCAAACGCCTCTGAAGCCAATTAGAGAAAGTGCGGAGCATCAAACAGTACCGCTGTTTTTCCTCCTCCTCTCTCTCTTCTCATCTTGTGTCCAAGTTGATTTTTCTCCAACGGCAACAAAGAGATAGATCTCCACATACTCACCGGACCCTCCAAATGTTGTTCCTTCACCTCCGGCTTCAGATGAGCCCCAAAGGGCCCCTCAAAGCACACATAGACTTTTCGCATTTAGCTGCATCTGCCACCAAATGCACCCCATCCACTAACCCCTAGCACCGTACTTTGTCCCACCAGCCTTCGGCCCAGAACCATCAACAACCACCAATCCCCCACAGCCTCTAAAGAAACACCCACCGCCGGTGCCACCAGCCGACCTAATGGCAGAGAGGCTCCAGCGAACTGCGACACAGCCCACCGGCAACAAACACCCAAGGGGGAACCACATCAGGCATGTCTCTACCCCCCACAGCAACAACACCGCCCCCAGACACCGCAGCCTGAAACAGCCTGCCACACAGCCAAAGATGCCCGAAGCCCGGGCCACCACCCCCGTCTCACACGAGTCAGCACATCCCTAAAACTGCCAGCAGCATGCCAACAATCTTCTTCAGTGCCCAGGCAACCCCCCAGTGACGGTGCGCCAACCCCATTACCAACAGAACCACCCCCGCCGCCTCCAACCTGAAGCGCTACCCCCCAAGTCCCAAAATCTCCCTGCAGAGAAGAAGAGGAAGACGATGGAAAAAACAGCCTCCAGAAGACAACTCATCCAGGCTGCATTCTGCCCACCAGGGACTCCCAAACCCCGCCATTACGGATCCATGCAGGGACGAAGGGACCCCGCATCATCTCTCAGAGCTGCCTGAGCTCCTTCTTTCCTGACCTGCTGCCCCCCGTTTTTGCTGCCGCCTCCTCGGTTCCCAGACAGCTGCCCTCATGGTTCTCGGTCCTGGCTCCTGCACACGGAGCACAGAGCTGTAGAGTCGTCTCTCCCCTCGTTGGGCTTCGCTATGAGGCAGAGGAACTCCCAGCAGCCGAAGACTCTTCAGAGTGAACAGGCGACGGGTTCCCGGCTCCTGAGCCCGGGTGGCACACGAGGGATGTCATCAGCCGCCGCCACATCCCTGGCACGCTCCGAGCCAACCGGCCGATTCGCCCCTCCCCAATCGTCAGGCTCGCTGGGCAGCCGAGAAGGCCCAGCAGCTAAAGGCCTGTGCTGCAGTAGAGCAGATGCTGGTTCCACCACACAGCGCACAGGGGTGACATCAGCCGCCCGCCTCCATCCCAGGAGCTCAGAGCCGCCGAATCCCTCCACCGTGTTTGGCACATAGCTCCGACTGACCTCCAACAAGTCCCAACCCCTCAATCAGGTGAGTAACCACCCCTAACCTTCTGAATTATACTCCCACCCAAATCCAATCTCCGCCTATGTCTGCAAGCCCCAGTCATGCTGACCCTCCCCTTTAGCTTCGCTCAGTCCAGACCCTGACTTTCCTGACACCATAGAAACGTGCATGCCCTTTAGTAGATACACAGCAGTGTCCTTAATTGTTAAATGACACCCCTCACACATCTGCTGACGTGCGTGTTTCCACATGCACCAAAATTCACGGTGCTGCTGTGGCTCGTGTGATTTTGAAAAAGGATCAGGGGACCTTATTCATTATTTCCGAATTAATTTCTAGTACCCGATAGAGCATTAAGCATCTCTGCCCATGAGATGTACATCTTTTATACCACCCTGTCAGTACACCTCTGCATCCTAAATTTCCTTGCTAACCTCTGCACCCCAAACCTCTCGCCTATCCTCTCCACTCTAACACCCCCCCACACCTTAACTCCACATGCTCCACAAGAACATGAAAAATGAGAAATGCCAGAGACACCAAGAAAAGACGACAGATGAAATGCTTCTGAGGCCCGAAATAAAGAAGAAATTTTATTTTTAGAATTACAGGCAGCTACAGGCATCATCCTGGTATTGTTTCTTTCAGCTGGAGGTCAGCTTTTATATAAAGGTAATACTAGCGGCTAATTAGCTGCTGGATCACTTTTACAAGCAGCAGGAGGGGTATTGTCCCCCCTCCTGCCTTCCACGGCTTTTCTCGGCCTCTCCCGACTCACTGGGGGAACCTGAGAATGTCTGTCGGCTGACCATAAACCTGAGAATGTCTGTCGGCTGACCATAAATCTGATCAGAGACTGGAATGGCTCCAATAATCTCTATGGTATAAGAAAACGGAAGCAATGAGCATTTCATCATTTTGTTTTGCCAGATATAAACAGCTCCATTTTTAAATTGGGAAAGAATCTGATCACACCAATCTTGCTTTAAGGGCAGAGGAGATCTAGGGTTTAATATAACCCCAGATTTCTCAAAAAATTAGTATATCACTGCCTATTGCTTTATCACAGGGGATATTTACATTCCCTGTGATAACAATAAAAATTATTTTAAAAAAAAAAATGAAAGAGGGACAGTGTAAACATAAAAAAGCAAAATAATTAATTGCAAAAAAAAAATCACCCTCCCCATGTGTTCATGCGCAAAGGTGAATACAAGCGTCAGTCCCATGACGGTATGTAAAAAGAGATTGCACCATGGACGTGAGGTATCACCATGAACATCAGATCAAGGGCAGCAATTCTAGTACTAGACCTCCTGTGTAAATCTAAAGTGGGCCCTGAAATGCCAGGATAGTGGAAGCAACCCCCCAAATTACCCGTTTTTGGAAAGTAGACACTCCAAGGTATGTATGCAGTTTGTCACCATTGCTCGGGGCATATACAGTTTTAAAGCATGTCATGTTTGGTATCTATTTACTCAACATACCATCATCTTTTATATTTTACAAAATAATTGGCCAAAATATTGTGTTTGTGTGCATTAAAAAAGTAAAAGTATTTTTTATTTAAAAATCTTGCATTTGAAAAATCACTGCACAAGTACTATGCAACATAAAAAATTGCAGCACCCACCATTTTATTCACTAGGGTGTCTGCTTTAAAAAAATATATTTAATTGTGTTTAGGGGTTCAAAGTAATTTCCTAGCAAAATTGTACTGATTTTTTCATGTGAACAAAAAGTGTCAGAAAATCCTTGTCTTCAGGTGGTTAGACGAGTGAGTGATGTGCAGCGGCGGACTGACCATTTGGAAACTCGGGCACTGCCCGAGGGCCCAGGGTCAGTAGGAGGCCCCATGAGATGTCAGAACCTTTTTCATAGGCTTTTTTTTTTTGGACAAGGACACAGGGGCCCCATGATCCCCTATTGTCCAGGGGCCCCATGAGTTGTCAGTCCGCCCCTGGTGATGTGCAGCATAAACTTCTAATGTTGGGCATAAAATGCCCCCTCCCCCCAAAATGACCCCTTTTTGGAAAGTAGACACACCCCAAAATATTTGCTGAGAGGCATGTTGTGTCAATAGAACAATTTAAGTTTTTGGAAAATGACAAAATACATTTTTTTTTGTTACACAAAGTTCTCACTTAAATTATATATTGCTCGCACATGCCATTGGTATATGTGGAATTACTCCCTAAAATACATTCCGATACTTCTCCTGAAATATGGGGATACCACATGTGAGAGACTTTTTGGCAGTCTAGCCGCATACAGGATCTCAAAATCCAATAAGCACCTTCAGGCTTTTAAAGGGCTTTATTTCCTCATTACACTTCCTGACTACCTATCACAGTTTCTAGGCCCTGAAATGCCAGGATAGTACAAAACTCCCCCTTTTTGGAAATTAGACACCCCAAGGAATTTGATAAGAAGCATGATGAGTATTTTGCAGGTCTCATTTGTTGCCACAAGTTTTTGTAAAATGAAGAAAGAAAACAAAAACATATTTTTTTCTTTTCTTGTTTTCCTTTTCAAAACCTTGTGAGAAAAAATTAGATCTGCAAACTATTCACCATGCCTCTTTTTTTTAAATTCCTCGTGGTGTCTACTTTCCAAAAAGGGGTCATTTAGAGGGGGGGGGTTGATGATATCCTGGAAATTCAGGGCCTTTGAAACAGTGATAGGTAGTGAGGAAGTGAAATAAGGAAGTTACACACCTTCAGGCTTTCAAAGTGGTCATTGGATTTCAGGCTCCTGTATGTGGCTAGGCTCCAAAAAGTCTTATCATGTTGTATCCCCATATTTAGTAAAAGTAGCAGAATGTATTTTGTTGTGCAACTCCACATATACCCATGGCATATGTGAGCAATATATAATTTAAATGACAACTTTGTGTAAAAAAAAAAAAAGAAACTTTTTTTTGTCATTTTCCAAAAACTTGTGGAAAAAAAATAAACCTTCCATGGACTCCACATGCCTCTCAGCAGATTATTATTATTATTATTATACATATTTATAAAGCGCCAATAGTTCGCTCAGCGCTGTACATTACAAAAGGGGGAACAGAACATGTGACAGAACAATACCAATACAATGCAAAACATGAGGGGATCGAGGGCCCTGCTCTTTCAAGCTTACAATCTAGGAGGGGAGGGGATGGTGGCACAGGAGGAGATAGCTGTGGGGGATGGAGTGGTAGGAAGAGTGGAGGAGGTCAGCAATTAGCAGGGGTGGGGTAGGCTTCCCTGAAGAGATGGGGTTTTCAGGGTGCGCCTAAAAGGAGAGGAGAGTAGGTGATAATCTGATGGGTTGGGGCAGGGAGTTCCAGAGGATGGGTGACACCCTGGAGAAGTCCTGGAGGCGGGCATGGGAGGAGGAGACCAGGGAACTAGAGAGAAGGAGGTCTTGTGAGGAGCGGAGTGTGTGCGTGCTGGGCGGTAACTTGGATATTAGGTCAGTGATGTAGTTCGGGGCAGTATGGTGGACAGCTTTGTACGTCAGCGTTAGGATTTTGAATTTGATCCGTTGCGCAATCGAAAGCCAGTGGAGGGATTGGGCAGAGGGGGGTGGCGGAAACGGAGCGGTTGGAAAGGTGAATGAGTCTGGCAGCCGTATTCAGGATGGACTGAAGCGGGGATAGCCAGCGGCGAGGCAGGCCAAGTGAGGAGGGAGTTGCAGTAGTCGAGTCGTGATATGATGAGGGAGTGGATGAGCTGTTTAGTGGTTTCTGGAGTTAGGAACGTGCGGATTTTGGCGATGTTGCGGAGGTGGAGTCTGCACGAGTTTGTTAAAGAGTGGACTTGGGGCTGGAAAGGATAGGTTGGAGTCCAAAATGACACCAAGTACTCTGGCCTGCGGGCGGGTTTGATGGTGGCGTTGTTGGACATGATGGAGAAGTCAATGGGGGGTGGTGTCCCGGGCTGGAGGGAAGACAATAAACTCGGTTTTGGAGAGGTTCAGTTTAAGGAAGTGGAGCGACATCCAGTCTGATATGTCGCTCAACAGGTGTGTGATTCGGGCGGAGACCGAGGGGGTGGGGTGGGGGGTTCGATAGCTTAGGGTTTCTACTTTCCAAAAAGAGGTAATTTGGAGGTGTTTTTATACTGCCCTGGTGTTTTAGCACCTAAAGAAATGTGATAGTGTCAAGGTCCTACCTTTTCCCAGAGGTTATGTTACTCCATGTGCTGGCATCCATCTTGGATTTTTGTGAGCATGGTGGGAACCCTTTATGCCTTCAGGTCTCTGAGGTCCATCCCCCAGAGGGGTGTGGCTGAGTACATATAAGCCTGTGATCCGCACATGCCCTTTGCACTTGTGTCTTTCTCTTGCTACAGCTCTGTGTAAACGCTCGTGACTCTTCTGGTATTTGACTCTGCTTGTGACCGTTCTCTGTGTTTTCCTTCGATCTGACCTTCCGTTGCTGAACCCCCGGCCCGTGACCTGTTATTCTCTGTCTACTGTTCTGTACCGTTTTGTCCCATTGTTGTCGACCCGGCTTGCCTGACTACGCTATTTGTCATTCTCACCAGCTACACGCCATTGGCGGCGGCCATTAACCGCAGCCGGGGTGTCTCAGGGGCCGCGACCTGGTTCCTGGCTGCGTAAGTCCATCCCCACCATCAGGGCCCTGGTGAAGGGCAGCCTGGGACTTAGACTCCGCGCCCTGAGGGACTTCGGTCTGTTGGTGGTGGTTGTCGTCAGCCAGTGCGTTACCTTGCCACTAGGCCTACCTGTCCATTCCACAGCCCTGCCCTGACAGATAGGCAGTCAGAAAGTAAAAGCTGTGTAAATTCCAGTATTTATACCATAGTTTGTAGACACTATAACTTTCACACAAACCAATTAATATGCAGTTTTTGGGATTTTTTTTACCAAAGACATGTAGCAAAATACATTTTGGCCTAAATTTAGGATGAAATTTGAGTTTTTTGGATATTTTTTATGACAGAAATGAGAAAATATAATTTTTTTCAATATTTTCGGTCTTTTTTTTTGTTTATAGCGCAAAAAAAAACAATCAAATACCACCAAAAGAAAACCTCTATTTGTGTGAAAAAAGACCTAAATTTCATTTATGTACAGTATTGCATGACCGCACAATTGTCAGTTAAACTAGCGCAGCGCTGTATAGCAAAAAATGGCATAAATTGCAGTATCTATACCATAGTTTGTAGATGCTATAACCTTCATACAAAGCAAATAATATACACTTATTAGGATTTTTTTTTTTATCAAAGACATGTAGCAGAATAAATTTTGGTCTAAATTTATGACTAACTTTGAGTCACTATATATTTTTTATAACCGAAAGTAAAAAAATTTATTTTTTTTTTAAATTTTCAGGGTTTTTTGTTGATAGCGCAAAAAATAAAAAAGGCCAGAAGTGATAAAATACCACCAAAAGAAAGCTCTATTTCTGTGAAAAAGGACATAAATTTTGTTTGGGTACCCCCGCGTTGCACGACCGCACAATTACCAGCTGAAATAATGCAGTGCCATAACACAAAAAATGGCCTGGTCAGGAACGGGGGACAAATCCTCTGGAGGGCAAGTGGTTAATATGCACATATTGGGATTTTTTTTTTTTTTTTTACCAAAGACATGTAGCAGAATACATTTTGGCCTAAATTCATGACAAAATTTTAGTTATTGGTTATTTTTTATAACAGGAAGTAAAAAAATATTGTGGGTTTGTTTCAAAACGGTTAGACTTTTTTTTAATCATAACAAATAAAAAAAACAGTGGTTATCAAATGCCACAAAAGAAAGCCCAATATGTATGAAAAAAGGACATAAATTTTGTATGGGTGCAGCATTGCATGACCACACAATTACCAGTTCAAATAGCAGAGTGCTGAATAGCAAAAAATGGCATGGTCAGAAAGGGGGGAAAACCTTCTGGGACTGAAGTGGTTAATACCCTTTGCCTGTATAGTTCCTGTGTTCGGTAAATCAAGCTTTATTACTGCCCACTGCTGCATTTTAGTTGACCTTGTTACTGTTTCTTCTGATTTGGACAAAATTGTCATCTTATGCCCTTATTACTAATCACCGTGTATGCTAAATTGTGTTACTACCATTGTTAGCCTATTTTTATTTTATTAATTTCAGGTACTTATATAGCGCTGTAAATTTACACTGTGCTTTACATAGATATTGTATCATGTGACAATATATTATGTTAGCCTTTACTAACTGGTTCAGTTTTTGTTTTCTTTGATATATTACTACTACTGGGTATTAAGCATTACTTTCAGTGATTTTCTATGATATTGTTTGCCTTGTAGACTCAACCTAGTGTGTCAGAGGGGCTAAAGTTCTTAAAGGGGTCGAGGAAAAGAACAGAGGACCCATTCTAACCAGCGGTTCCTATGGGGGTAGCGCTACACTTGGAAACTATAATACTTGAATTATCCTTAGATGTATCTTAAGGTATTTGAGCCCATGATACAGTATATTTGATCTACAGAACTATGCTGTTTGGTTAGATAATTAGATCCAGTGTATTGTTCTTATTATTGATATATTTTCTTTATATTACATGGGTTATGGGGTTTTGACCACTTTATTTATGCAAATACGGTGTGGAGCGCTTATATTTGAATCCACAATTTATTGAGCTTTGATGATCATCTTTATTATCTTGATGGATTCATAATATGATGGGTATGTTTTCCACCTGATGATCAACTTCCCCCACTCGGAGTACATTGATGGGGTGCGCACACATGTGGCATTAATGATTGTAATATAGCTTTTTGAATCTCTATGACATTATACAGTATATGTAACCATTTGTATTTACACCATTATTTACTGTGTAAATCTGTCACTAAATATTTGTACTGTTTTTGCTGTAATTTATGAATTTGAACTAGAATTATATTTATATAATTATAGACACGAAGTGAACTTATGCTCGAGAAACACCTTGAGTTTTTCAATGCCTTTCCATTACAACTG